CAACGATGTGCTTTTGGTCAAACAGAGTTAAATTGGAGTCGTCTTCTCCTTCAAAAAAAAAAACTCTTTGTGCATTCTTTTTGCTGTGTGAAATAAAAATTGAACAAAAAACAACGCTAGAGATGAGTTGTAATACAGCCAATTAATCACTACTGCAGATTGAAAAGACAAACCTTCTAGTCGGTATAGACTGTCCTAACTCAACAACTTCATTTGTGGGGCAAAAAGATAGAAATAAAACTCTCCTTGATTCCTGTTCTTTATTACAAACTAACATAAGCAAGAGATCACCAGGAACGTTATCAAGCAAAAAGAAATGACGATGAGGGTCACCATCCCCTTCTTGCAAAGAGAACTATAATGCTTTCTTTCATATCTAGCTGCAAACAATAGGTCACCAAAGAGGAATTTAAGTTGAAGCAAATAATATAAGCTTAAAATGTTTTTTTTTCCCCGCATGAATTATCATGATACTTATGAGAGCTTATAGTGTTAAATTGTTGGCGGCAAGGTCAGTCAATTTTGTGTGTCTCCAAAACATACAACGACGTTACATGAGAACCTGTGAGATATAGAAGTCATCCTAACTATGTGATATATATATCTCTGTGTGTGTATTATCTGAGAGAAGTTAAATGAATATGCTCTCGCTAGTGTGGGAAAATGATACTTCTTACAATAGAGCACGCAGTATGTAGATTTAAAGATCCATCTATCCATAGGCTTTGATAAAAACGCTTCTTTATTTTGAATTTGTGCCCAAAACGTTCAGCTTCAGGCTTGAGGCCTCAAATGTGCATTCCTCTAATACTTTCCTCTAATGCTCTCTATTGTCTACTATGATATCCTAATTTTGCAAATATTTTATTTTAATTTTTCTTTTAATGATTCAATTTTACATAAAATTAGTGACATACTGATATCTTGAGTAAAAAAAATAGTGCCATTTAAAAATTTTTATGATTTTTCAAAAAAAAAAATTTTGATTTTGAGGCACATTAAGGGTTGGGAGGCTGGGACATCACGAAAGATGGCAAGGGGAGACACATTAAAGGCCCCAAACCTTCCGCTTCAGACTATTTATCTTCCCAATTTGTGCCTCATATATAAGTTTTCTCAATTTGATCACTTGCAGATACAATCATTATCAATAATGATATTTGGCTAATATATCATCAATATAAATAATAATCAGTCTGCATGTCATAAAATGTTATAAAATGACAAAAATAAATTTTACAATTCAAGTAAATAAAATACTAGTCTCATTAACTAATCTCTTAAATTTAAAAAGTAATTAATATTAATTAAATGGAGAAAAATTTTAGAGAAAAGGGCATGTTTCAAAAAGAAATAAATTATTTAATTTTTTTAATTTGTAAATAGTTTTTATTAAAATTAAATAATATGATCGCAAATAAACATATTACATTCATGGTACTAAAAGTTCTTTTCAAAAGTAAAGAATGTACCCAATTCGTTTGCATCCACACGCACATACAAATCTTGGCCCACATTTTCACATGTGCCACTTTCACAAACCCCTCCCCGCTACGACACGTGGACACATTCTTCTTCCTCACACACCCACTTGAGCCATTTCTCATATTCCACTCAAATGGGTTCATGGGTTCGAATCCGGGCAAGCACACACTCAAACTTGTTCATATTATATGGGTCACACTTAGTATTCGACCCACACCGACGATAGTGGTCACAGTCCTCTGTCGGACCCTACCAAACTTGGAGCCAATTATTCTCCTTAGCTCGCCAAATAGTTCGTGTCTCATGACCAGTGTTGTCTAGCACACATAAAAGCCGAATCTGGATGCTTTTCAGAACTTCATGTTCAGGGCATGTTTCATCTAGTAATGATGGATCAACAATCTCCATAGCTTGACTTTCTTTCCAAAGATTCCAAATCTGAAATGATTGAATTCATTATTAAGTAAGTAGACTATTAGAAAAGAACAAACTTAATTCAAGTTGTTCATTATTTGTACTTACATGTCCAACCAAAGTAGAAGTAATGTCATCATAATGACCACTATTCTTCCTGCTAGTAACAATCTCCAAAAGTAAAACTCCAAAACTGTACACATATGATTTTATTGAAAAAAAATGCCTTCCATTGCATATTTAGGTGACATATAACTACTGCGAAAGGTTAATGAAATTTGTCAATCATCATTTCAGCTAGAGATATTTAATTTTATAGCAGTGAATTGTTTTGTTGTTATTTCTTTTGATATACTGGAAAGGAAAACAGCAACTAAACTACATTATGGGAGGTGAGGATCAAGGTGACAAAATCTTTGCTCAAAATCTGCAGTCCCATAGCCCCATTTAGTGCTATATTGGCGAGGGTATCTGCTTGGTTGTTATCATCTCTGCAAATAACTTGAAATTCAACATGCCAAGACCACTACAGCTTATCTTGAACTTGATGAATGCCTTGCCAGTCTTCATGCAGATGGTTGTCTTCCTTGAGGATGGCTCATATAGCTTCAAAAGAATCGCACTGTACGATCACCTCACGAAGGCCCAAATCCCAAGCGCGTTTCATACACATTAAGCATGCCCAAATCTCTGCAGTTAGATGATCACCGTGGTTGAGCTTAAGGAGGAAGCCATCCCGGATGTCCTTGTTTCTAGTATGAATGATACCCCCACAAGCTACTTTGCCGATAAGTGCTGAGAATGCTCCATCAACCATAACCACACAAGTATTCTGAATAGAGATATTAGTGGGTTTAGTAATGTTTTGTTGAGATGAGTTCATCCTAATTCCTTTTAGCTTTGTGGTCGAGTTCCTCATACATTGCAGGACTGCACCTGCTCTAGCTAGGATTGATGAAAGATCAGTAGTGATATTAGAGTGCGTGAGATCATTCCTTGCTTTCGATATCAACCAGCAACTAACGCTAAACATCTCTTTCCAATCATTACCCATAGAACTAGCTTGGGTTGTCATATTAAACTGAAGCCAATCATGAAAAGCGCTAGAGAAGAAGTGATTTCGGTGCTCGGGTTTGAGAATGACATCCCATAATCTGCTAATGTTTGGGCAATCTTTGAAGGTGTGGATTTCAGATTCCACTTCCACTTGACATCGGTCACAAAGTCCATTAGTATAAAGGCCTCGCTTCATCTTGTGTTGATTAGTTAGGATGCGTTTATGGAAAAGCATCCAAATGAACGTTTTGCAGCGTTGAGGAGTCTTTAATTTCCAGATTTTAGTCCAGTTCGTATAAGGCCCTTCGCATGGCAGGTTTAACAGCTTATATGCAGATTTGGTAGTGAATGAGCCGCTCTTTTCCCACCTCCATCTAGCTACATCATTGTTGAGAGCGTCTTTGGTTACTTGAATGCCATCCTTGACATATTTCCAGTTATTCTTGATGCCCCTCCAAACGTTGGATCTTGGTTTTTTGATGTTAATATGGGGCAAAAGATCCGTGCCACATCCATATTTATGTCGTCTAATAACTTTCACCCATAAGGAATCTTTTTTAGTAACTAGTCCCAAACCAAGCTTCATCATAAAAGCTCTATTTTGTTGTTTAATATGTCGCATGCCTAAGCCCCCATTCTTTTTCTCAGAACAAACTTGGTCCCAAGAGATTAGATGCATTTTCCTTTTATCATTAGAGGAACCCCATAAGAAACCCCGAGCTTTCTTCTCGATCTGGTTACAAGTATCATCAGGTATGTAAGCCGTTTGCATAGCATGATTGGGCATTGCATTGATGACGGCTTTCACAAGAGTGTCTCGACCAGCAAACAAGAAGCTGTTTATCTTCCAATTGCTGAGGCGACTAGTAACCTTATCGATGGTGTATTTGTAAGTATTATTGGAGACTCGATCATGGTGGAGAGGAACTCCCAGGTATTTACCAAGGTCTACTGTCTAAGTGAAGCCGAGCTCCTTGCTAAGCTGAGAGGCTCGATTATGGTTGACATTATAAGAGAAGAAGATCTTGGTCTTGCTTTGATTAACTTTTTGGCCCGAAGCTTCACAGAATAGATCTTGGTCTTCTAATCACGTCCACCTGTTCTAAACTAGCTTCTGCAAAAATCAATAGATCATCAGCAAAAAACAAGTGAGATATAGGGGGACCATTCTTACCAAGTTTTATGGCCTTCCATTTTCCCGTAATCACCTCATTTTGAATGACATGTGCTAGCTTTTCCATACATAGGACAAACAGGTAAGGTGAGAGTGGGTCTTCCTGCCTGAGGCCTCTTGACGGATTGAATTTGTTGGCTGGATTTCCTTCCCAAAGGATTTGCAAAGATGGGGTTGAGATACAGGTATAAATAACTTTTTTAACGGCCTCTGGTACTCTCAACTCCTCCAAACATTGCAAGACAAAATTCCACTTGATTCGATCGTAAGCTTTCTCTAAATCAATTTTAATTGCCATATATCCTTGTTTACCTTTCATATTACGCATTGAGTGAATAACTTCCTGCGCAACAATAATGTTGTCGGTGCTAGTTCGCCTAGGAACAAAGCTGCATTGATTAGGAGAAATGATGCTTGGAAGGAAGCTCTTCATCCTGTTCACTACAACTTTAGAGATGACCTTATAAATAACATTGCATAAGCTTATAGGCCTAAGATCTCTAATCGTTTCAGGGCGATCCATCTTGGGGATGAGCACAATAAAAGTATGATTAAGAGATTCAATAAGAGATGGGTCTAGAAAAGCATGTTTAACCAACAAAATAACTAACTCACCCACCACTTCCCATTGGCTTTGATAAAACAGAGCGTTAAGACCATCTGGGCCAGGGGATTTAAGAGCCCCCATAGCAAACAGGGCTATTTTGATCTCTTCGCTGCAAACATCTTTACTTAGACAATTTATTTGAACATTATTAAGAGAAGGATAAGAGGTGTTACCCATTTAGAGAGTAGACTCACACCCATCATCATGAAATAAATTCACAAAGAAGTCTATGGCAAGCTGTTTGATCTTATTGATATCGTCTGTCTACTCCCCATTCTCTTGAAGAATAGCTTCAATTTTATTCCTTCTTCTTCGATCATTTACGTGGGTATGAAAAAACTTGGAGTTCTTGTCACCAAGAGTATACCAGTCGCATTTAGCTTTTTGAGCCCAAAGGAGATCCTCTTGGAGAATCACCTCTTCCAATTCAAACCATAGTTTTCTTTGGAGCTGTTCAAGAGAAGAGGTATTACCTGTGAAGGACATAGTTCAAGAAATACCTTCCAACGTCCCCATCAAGTGACTTTTCTTTTGTCCCAAATGACTATAAGTGCTTTTACTCCAATCAACAAGGACTTTAATAAACTTCTCGATATTCTCAACCCAATTAACTTTATGCTCCCAACTATCTTTTACTAATCTGTTGAAATCATCATGAAGCACCCAAGGAGCATTAAAACGGAAAGGGCGGGAAGTACTAGATCGAGGAACCATACCTGGCCATAGCTGAAGAAGAAGGGGGCAGCGATTAGACTTGAACCAAGGGAGATGTTTGACCACGGCGTCTATAAACGTAGACTGAGCTTTAGCATTAGCTAGGACTCGATCAATTCTGCTTTCACATCCCTCTCGTTTCCAAGTAAAGTAGGGTCCTACGCAACCCATATCAGTGAGTTCCATCTCCTCCACCCATTTATAGAAATCACAATCAATAGAAGTTGTCCTTAGAGCGGACGACTGACGCTCGTTAGAGTAGAGGGTGGCATTGAAGTCTCCCCTTATGAACCATGGCCATTCATTACCTGGATTAATTCTTCGAAGGAGAGGCCAGAGGGAACGGCGAATCAAGATATTGGGACAAGCATAAACTGTAGTAACAAAGATCTTATCACTTCCTCTTTCAATCATTGTGTGAATAAATTGCTCGTTTGTCTCCATGATAGAAACTTTAATGTCATCGTTATTCCAAGCGACCCAAAGGCCTCCTCGAAAGCCTATAGCATCCACAATTTCACAATGTTTGAAGCCTAACTTCTTACTAATATCTCGTGCCTTCACTCTACTAGCCTTCATCTCAAACAGAGCACCAGTTCCAAAAGATATAATTCACGGAGCACCAACTGGAGGGGTATTCATGCTTATAGGCCCCCTAGAGTGTATGAGAGTTTCTTCAAGCTCGTTGTTAAGATGTGTGTCCTGTCTAGTAGCGGCTGTATGCATAATTATTGACGTCCCATCATCAGTATTACTCATGTAGATGCTATCTGAGAACGACGGTGTGTCTTGTTCCATGATTATGTCTTTTTGCTCACCTATAGCAGGTTTGAGAACTAGATTAGAGGGAGAATCTTCTTTGTGGCCATTATCATTTAATTCCATCAAAGCCTCAAAAGGATTTTGGGCTTGCCAAAACATAGCCTTAGCCGAAAATTGGTGTGAGATATTTTGAGAGTTACCTTTAGAACCAGGAGGGGCATTCTCTTTTCGAAAGCATTAAACGCTATTTCATTGACATGAATAACGGCCAGGATCAAATGGAGGAGGATGACAATGACTGTCCAACGTTGAAGGTCACCCAGGAAGAGTATGAGCAGTGGTGTGCACCGTGGAGGAAATCGCTCATTATTAAACTACTTGGGAAGAACATTCCTCTCTGGTTGATGAAAACTAATCTAGCACGTATGTGGAAAACTAAGAAACCGTATACAACCCGAGATCTGGATAATGGCTTTTTTGTTGCCTCGTTCAATGATGAAGACGATATGAACATGATATATCAAGATGGACCTTGGAAGATTGCTGACCATTACCTTGTCGTTCAAAGGTGGAGGCCGAACTTTGACCCGTGGGAAGCTGAGCTGCAGAGAATGATAGCAGTGTGGGTACGTATACCACTTCTCCCTCTTGAATTCTTCAACGCAAAGAGCTTGAGGAGGATTGGGCAACTGATTGGTAGAACTCTAAAGATTGACATGATCACACATGATAGTGAGAGGGGAAGGTTTGCTTGCATATGCATTGAATTAGATCTGAAGAAGAGGCTAAAGTCTTCGATTAATGTTTTTCGGGAAGCGACGCATTCTTGGATATGAAGGTCTCCATTTAATATGTTTTCATTGTGGCAAATATGGGCACCACAAAGATTCATGTCCAGATAGGTGCAATCACCCCGACGCAAAAACTGATAGCTCAGCGCATGGAGCCTCTGGCTGTTCTAATGATGTCGGGAAAGTCACCGTCGACTTGAATGCTAATCCAAACGAGACTCCAGTGCATACCACAGAGAATCAACATAATGTGTTAGAGAGTGGATTATCAAAATGTCTATGTGATGAAACAACCGTCAGTGAAAACTTCGGCAAGAACAAGCCACCGCAGGCGGTGGGGTTGGGTGTTTGGAATTTGGTACAACGGCCAAAAGGGAGAAAATTAGGAAACTTCGCTAATCCTGGATCTGGTGTTAATCACCAAGAAAAGTTTCAAAAAAATCTTCCAAAATCTACACCGATTCGCGACAATCAAGGGAATAAAAGAATGGATTTTTCAATCTGCAAAGATAATACAATATTGCTGCAAGTGAGTAATAGCCAATCTCGCCAATTTGGAAAGGAGTTCAACGGTGAACCTAGAGCAATTGGTAAGGAATCTCAAAGGAATTTGAAGTGGGTCCCGGTGGACCAAAGGAATCAAAGGAATTGTTTTGTTGTTATATCTAGCATATTATGTCATATGAATATATTGACTTTGAATTTGAATGGGCTGGAATAAATCACAAACCTATCTAGCTCGTGTTTAAATGTTATTTGACTAAGAAAAATGGATTCGTCTAGCATCAAAATTTACATTATTTAGATATAGATATTGAATATATGTAGAAAATCATTCACAACGAAATATTACTTCAAAATGTAGCTTTTACTAGTATTTTTCGAAGTTGCGGAAACTAGAATGTGTACGTGTAATGCAATGCTAGTGAACTGAAGTGATATAAACTATTGAGTACTTACTAAGTTCCAACAACACGGTTTGTGTTTACTTCAGTTTGGTCTCCACCAAATATTCTTGCCATACCAAAATCTGCAATCTTTGGGTTCATTACAAGATCCAACAAGACATTGCTAGCCTTTAAGTCTTTATGAATTATTCTTAATATTGAATCTTGAAAAGGGTATAAAATTCCTCTTGCAACTCCACAAATGATGTCAAATCTTTTCCTCCAATCTAACTTTGGCTTGTTTGCTTGATCTAAATAAAAGTGGTAAACTATATATTAAAAGTGAAGAATGGTGCAAGATCAATTCTCTCTTTTTTCCAAAATTGAAAAATTTGACAACAAATTTTGTATATATAGAAAAATTAAATGATAAGGAGACATGCCAAAGATGAAAGAGTCCAAGCTTTTGTTTGGCAAATATTCATATACCAACATCTTTTCTTCTCCATCTACGTAACAACCTAAGATCCTTAGAAGATTTCTATGTTGAAGCTTTGCAACTAAAGTAACCTCATCTCTGAATTGTTCAATGCCTTGTCCAGAATACTTTGATAGCCTCTTAACTGCTATTTCCATTCCATCTTCAAGTAGACCCTGATGTCAAGAGCCATAATTTAATTCATGAAGGTATGCATTTTATCTTTGTTGTATGAAACCATTACTATAAATAATAAGCTAATGGCATTGAAAACAATGTTAATCCAATTTATGAAATTTCAGACTATTTATACATAGAACATCTACCTTATATACTGAACCAAAGCTGTTAGAATCAATCTCACCCAAGAGGGGGGTGAATTGGGTGAGTTAAAAATTTGCGAAATTAAAACGAGACAGTATAGAAAACAGAGAGTTAGAGTCAAGAGCGATTTCACCGCAGAAGGAAGACACAAGATTTATACTAGTTCGGTCTTAACCACTTGACCTACGTCTAGTCCTCAGAACACCTCTGAGTATTTCACTATCTTCCAAGATCGATAGGGCTCTTGGTGCCTCGGTACAGTAATTGAATCACTCAATCACTCCCCCTTACTCCCATAAGGATACAAGCCCTCTCAAGAGTCCACACTCTTGAGTATCACTCAATTGTAATTAATGAAGGATAGTTATCGACTCTCTTACAGAGTGAAATTAATGATGAACACTGACGCTCAGTAGTATTGAAGAAACAGAGTATTGAATGCTAGACTTAATAATCACAGATGGTAGTTCTGGTATTCAATCTTTTTCATTAATGCTTCTTCGCGCCTTTTATAGTTGAGATCGTTAAGTAGCCGTTAGACGGAAGAGCTTCTAGCCGTTGTGACTCCGTTTGCGTGTTTCGCCGGTTTCAACGGTTCCGCCATTAATGCGTCTGAGCTTCTGACACTGTAGGTTGCAGTTTACGTAATCCCGTTAAAGAGCCGTTGCAGTCTTTCTTAGTAATCTGCATATTTTAAACTTTGAACAAGTAAGAGTCTTGCGGTGTATGCTTTAGTCATGAACTAAGAAGAAAAATGAATCGATTATACAATGATTCTAGATGAAATGATTTATCTGTAAAAAGAGCAGAAAGAGATCCTGGACATGCTTAATCGAAGAGGTGATCGATTACTTGTTGATCGATCAGGTTATCGATAAACAGAGGGAAAGCTTTTGAATCAGTTCAACATGATTATCGATCAAGTGTTGGATCATTGATTTTAAGAATCATCATAGTCGACTGATGTTGAAATGGAAATCGTTCCATGATCGAACAAGTGATCGAACACTTGTTGATAGAACAGATTATCGATAATCCAAGTGTTACAGAAATGAAACTTCAGTCATTGATGATCGAACAGATTATCGATAAATGGATGATGGATAAGGTTATCGATAAACAATGAGTAAGAATATATTCAGCGAAAAACACAGACTATGTGGATTAATCGAACAGGTGATCGATCAATGAATATTCGATCAAGTGATTGATAAAATGAAAAACAGAGATTTAATAAAGAAACAAATTATCGATCACGTTATGTGAAAACATGAGTTTCAGGAAATCGGATGATCGATCATATTATCGATAAATCAATGATCGATTAGGTGATCGATAAAATGATTCAACATAAGTTAATGCAGTGAAGATAATAATCCTGAGACTCTTTATCGATCATGTTATGTGAAAAGATACTATGCAGACAAGTTAAATTATCGATAATGTTATCGATAATTTGGTTGTAGAGAAACTAAGTATGAGCAGATAAAACATTGATTATCGATCATGTGATCGATAACTTAGTGATCGATAAGGTTATCGATTCAGCAGCTATGATGAGTACCTGCATTCAGAGAGTTAGAGCATAATGTTCGATCATATGATCGATAAACAAGTGATCGATAATATGATGGATAAATGATGACAGAATTACTGTGCAGAACGAGTAGATTGTGTTACCTCTTATCGAAGTCGTTATTGATAACTGATTTATCAATCATGTGATCGATAAATGCACTTCAGATTTGATTCTCTTTATCTGTTACTTGATTGTTTATCTGATGTTATCGATCAAGTGATCGATAATTAACTGTTATCTTATGTAACTTCCATGTTAGCGATAATCGATCATTTTATCGATCAACCAATTATCGAATAGCTCTTTGATTAAAAAGCTTAATATAAAACTGATTTCTACTGAACAGTTATCTGATAGCTTATCGATAATCATTTGATCGATCAGTTGATCGATCAGTTGATCGATCAACATACTTAACCCAATTAATCTAACTTTGTTATCATCAAAACCATAATCCTAACAAAAGCCACCTTTTCCAAGCACATTAGCATCTGCGAAATTGGTTGTTGCCTCAACTATGTCCTTTGGGTCAAACAGAGTTAGATTGGAATTGTATTCTCCATCAAAAAAAATATTCTTCGTGCATTCTTTTTGCTGTGTGAAATAAAAATTGAAAGAAAAAAAACATAAGAGATGAGTTGTAATATAGCTAATTAATCACTACTGTAGATTGAAAAGACAAACCTTCTAGTAAGTTTATGTGCAGTGTATAGATTGTATTAACTCAAGAAATTCATTTGTGGGGAAAAAGATAGAAA